TTTTAATTGAAAGATTAATTGAAATAGTATAATATAATATTATTTATTAATAGTTTTGTTAATTATTGATATTATTACAAGTATGAAATTGTATCGAAAAATTGGTACATGGTAACAAAGATGTTACCTTTTAAGCATTATTATAACAGTAAATGTAATTTTACTAAAACAGAAATAAATAATTAATTTGATCGATTATATCTGCATTGTAGACATAATTATAGGTAACTTGTAAGTAAGAGAATTACACAAAACAAATGATGATTTATATACAAATAATATTATTTTTAATTTTATATAATTTTATCGCGGTATAATTTTAATATTATTGGACCTAACTATAATTATGATTTTAATTGAAAGATTAATTGAAAAAGTATATTTATTAATAGTTTTGTTAACTATTGGTATAATTACAAGTATAAAGTTGTATTGGAAACTTGATGCCTGGTAACAGAGATGTTACCTTTTAAACATTATATTCAATTTAAGTGTTAATACAAAGAAGCGAACTGACATCAGGAATATCTGAAATGATTAAATATAACAATCAAATAATTAAATAAAATCATTAAGACAATTTAAATTAAAGTGATCATATTTAAATATAGTTAAAGAGTAAATACTTTAAAAGCTGTAATTCTGGTAATAATGAAGTGATTAGTACTCGTGAACCCAATTAATCGCTTTCTATCACTCACTCTCTCCAGACATGAGATTAACTGTAAATATATATTAATTAAGTGAATATATTTGAATAAATTGATATATATTTTAAAAATCATAACAAATATTAACCTTTAACTTGCAAATTAGTAAATTGGACAGGTTCAAAATATAGAATTTATACAACTTTTTATATGTATCTGTCATTTCAGTGTTAATACTAGATGTGATTAAAATGAGTGCTAATAACGTGGACCCAAATATCAGCAGAAAAATAGTCAAAAATATTTTCGCATTTATTAAATTTGTATGAAATAAAAGTATATTTAAAAATAGATTATTAATTGGTATCAATGAATATATAATTACAGTGAAAATATTTTTCCAAAACTTATTATGCGTTAATATATCCAAATAGAGTTTATTATGATTTCGAAATATTTGCCTTGATGTTTTCATTTTGAGCATTACTATATTTGTTTGAGTAGTGGCAAGGTAGTTATTATGAATTTTTATCCGACTTTTAATGTAATAGCAAACTATTAGGTAATAAAATAGTATCCAAATAAGTGATCTTGTTCCAATAAAATACTGGTGAATATATAATATGCATGTTGCAATGCCATAGAAAATATTATTCCCACTAAAGTTTATTATTATAATAATAGCAAATAGCAAATAATTACCTATATCTAGCAAAAGTAATCCAGATATTATCACACGTTTTAGTAATTTAATTTTCTTAATGAATATATTTGCTAGGTGTTTATCACTTAAACCAATTGATTTCATAGTTTTATAGCCATTGATTGCCGATATGATATCAAACCATTTGTAATCACTTTTATGTTGAGTGTTGAGAGCTATTATAATGACCAAGCTCATATTTAAATAGACAATCGCTGCTATATATAAGAATTCTTTCAAATGTGCCCAATATTGCATGATTTCCATGTAATAATCGGGTAATCGTTTGTTTGGTTCACTTATGTATAAATAAAATATATGTCGACAAATATGTATGATTACAGATATAATAATTGTGTAAACTTTACATTTTTGTCGAAATTGTTTCTTTTTGTTTAAAACGTTTTTTAAATCATCCACGTCATATCGATAAAATAACCCAAATTTATACAATTGCGCCTCGATCTCCATGTTATTAAATGTAAAAATGTATTTATGTTATACGTTTATGTTGATAATAATTTTATAACAAATAAAATACAGTACGAAACTAACGGTTCAATTACAATTACAATGAGTTTCTTTAATAGACTTTAGGATTGATACTAATTACAAAAAACACTGTGTATTACTGTATAATAAAACAAATGTTAATCGATATTACAGAGAAACGTACTAGAGTACTATTAACATTAATTGCAGTTTTATATAATTAGTATCAAAACTAAAATTACTTAATCAATTAAATATAGCATTCGCAAATATAGCTCATTTGAAAAGATATTACTAATAATAGTGAAAAATACTAATTTTTAAGTTAAAATATATAATCATGATTATAATCTGTTTAATATAATGAAAATGAAATTAAAGTCAATATAATGTTTCACACATTGTTTTTTAGTTTAATTGAGAATAATTTGAATAATTAAATTAATTTCATGAACTGTAATTAGATATATAAGTTCATTAAGTTTATTAAGTTCAGCAAGTACAAAAGTGTAGTTCACCTGTACTTTCACAAGTTTAACTAACGACTAACGATATTCTGTACTTTCGTAAGATATACTTTTTTGAGTTAATTTTCTACTATTTTACTAATTTTATATGTCCTAAAATAGTTATTCCTTAAATACAGTATTAAAGTTAAGTAAAAATAGTGTAGAGTCTATGGTGTAGGACCTACACGTACTGTAGGTTAGGTGTGGTCAGCATTTTGGTAAAGTTTGTCACATATGTCAGTTTGACTGCATAAATATTTAAATCTCAAATCTACATCAAATTCACACAAATTGTTTTACATATATTTGAACTTAATTCTTACTATTTATCATTTTGATACACACCTGTCGTTATGCACGATACTAGGTTAGAAACATTCACATGACACTTTGTTGTCAATAATTTGTAATTTCTCAATTATTTTATAAATATTGGTAAATTACAAAGGTTAGAATTACTATTTAAATTATATTTTATTTTATATAAGTTTAAAAAGTATTTCTAAAATCCTCAATCGAGTACACAATATTATAAATGCACTAAAAAATCAAACTATAAATTAAATTTAGTTTTCCATTCACTGATGGTATCTAGCGTAACGGCACCACCACCACAAATGATCACTACGACCGGTCCGTCGGAATATTTACCACTATTTTCTGTGAATAATCTCTGGACTAATCCCGTATACAAAGCAGACAGAGAGGCACCGGCAGACTAAATGAAAAAAATACAAATTAATTTATTTACAGTATTAACTACTTTATAAAAATAATTACCGGTTCGACGAGAATCCTGTGCTGATTAGCAAACTTAATACAAGCCTCCGCAGCCTCCCTATCATCGCATACGTGTGACAGTATTGGTGGAGCACTGGTATTGCAATCGTTGGCCAACTGATCGCATATAATGAGCGAACCGAGAGATTTAGCTATACTTGTGATGTCGGGTATGCGAACGGGACGGACAGTCCCTCCGTTAGCCGCGACGACCGCCGCGTTCAGAGAGTCAGCGCCTCTCGTCTCCATCGCCAGCACCGGTACGGATGTCCACCCGTGGCGTCGCATACCCTCAATGATACCGCAGAGTAGGCCACCGCCGCCGCAACAGGTGATGATCATTGAGGGCACGGCATCCAAGTCCTCCGCGATCTCGTCAATCATTGTCGAGTGACCCGTCCTTTCGATTCAATAGGTTTTGAGTTTAAAATGTATTTTTAGGGAACTGTTAGCTCACCATAGGATGGGATCGTCGAAGGGGTGGACGTATAGACAATTAGGGGACTCGCGGACAGCGACGAGCGCCCTATCGTTGGTCTCATTCCAGACGTCACCGACGATGACAGTGTCGGCGCCCTCTTTGCGGAACTTCTCTTTCATCACTTCAGAGGTATAATTGGGTAGAAATACGCGACACTTGAGGCCTAACATACGCGCGGAACAGGCGGTCGCCAGACCCGCGTTACCACCCGATGACGATATGATCTCATCCCGGCCCTCGAGCGCACCCTTTAGTGTG